AATGAAGAATAAGAAACAAAATCAACATAATTATTTTCAAAATAACAAAGATAAACTCCAGGTGATAATCGAAAGATATTACTTTTTATAAGTACATGAAACAAGAAAATCATCCAAAAACATGTATTTATACTAATAGAAAGATACGCTAATCGTCGAGAACTATATAAACGTGTATCAACATTTTGTGAAGATATTAATAAACGATCAATAGATGCAAGAATAAGAACAGTAGGAAATAATGTTGAAAAAAAGAATCCGATATAAATATAGAGTTTACATAATATTACACTTGAATTTTGTAAATTTATGTTGAAACCAGTAATAAATATAGTTGAAATCATATAAGAATTGATGTAAAATGTATTGAATAAAAGACAAATAAGAAAATAAAATACACATACATTTTTTCTCCAAGATTTTTTCAAGAATATTAGGGTACTTATGATATTTCCAACATTACCAAGAATACAAATTACAGGAATAATATATCGATAAATATAAATAATTGTATTATTAAGATTATTAATGTAATATTTTTCAGTTAAACTCATCCTTACAAAACAACAAATGAGTAGTGATGCTATTCTTTATAAGAAGTAGAATTTATGGTCTTGACAAATTTAATTATTTATTCCTGATCCAGTAATAGAATTAAAAATGTTCTCAAAAATGTAATATTTCAAGAACTTTTTGAATAAAACCATATATAAAAAATAATATAGTGCTAATTAACTTATAAAAATACGCATATCTTATGACGACGTACGAAACAAAAAAAACTAATTAGTAATTATATATCTTTGACAAAAGTATCTCAAACAGAATATGTATCTTCTGTAAATGATACTTTAACGAAGGATCATTTTGTAATAAACTTGTTCTTTGACATGTGAATTTATAGTCAAACGACGCTGACTATTTTTTTTGGAAGAATGATTCTTAGTTAAAACTGACTTACATCTACATCCTCAAGTTATAGATTTCCGTAGTAAGAGTAGGGGATTATAGCTTGTTGACAAGTATTTTATAGTGGAAATGGTGGTCAGAGCTCAAGCAATACATGCTCACAACGATCGGGAAAGATGAGAGGGATCAACAAGAAAACGTTTCTAGTAGTAAGTAAGAGCATTTCAGTAATAGTAGCTTGCTGGATTCTAAAATTGTTTAAAGCATTCAATGAAATTCAGATTTCTGACATAGATTACACCTGGTTTGAATATTGTGAATTTAATAATACTCAATGCATCTTGAGGATGTGGGTGTGATATAACCATATGCTATCATCTACACCCTTCTCATGTGTCGTAGTGTTGCCTATGTAAACATATAGTTTATCAAATTACTCCAATGATATCCGATTTGTAGTTAAATTTTGCTGTAGTGAAAAGACGATTTTTCGATTAAATAATAATTCTGACACTTATCGACTATTCAATGATTTAATCAAATAACTTTGCAAGTTCAAGGAATTGATTTTCAACAAATTTGTCAACTTTCCGTTCAACATCGTTTCATTCTTAAAACTACAACTATCAAAGAAACAATGTCAATCATCTTTTTCCTTTTAGAAAATTTCATCAAAAGATGGAATCGATATTACGATTGAGACGGAATTGGTATTGAAATACATAATAATAAGATGATTAAATAAATCATCTATTTTTTGAGAGTATTACAAAACTATATAGGTGATAAAAAAAAAGAAACAAAGAAAACTTAGAATACATCTGGCGTATTTGTTTTCGCCAGCCAATCACGATCATCACTTCTTAATTGCATCTATATGGGTTTGTTTACGAAGAGAAAAAATATTTGAAAATATAATAAAATGTGTTCGGTTGAAATTGAAAAGAAAAAAAAACATAATGATCTCTTTGTCATTAAGACAGTTAAGGTTTCTATGGGATATATTTACATGTAAATAGACTTTTTTTTATTCATCTATTCTGTCTGTCATCGACAGTTGTGCAAATGAATAGAAATCAGATTGTTAGAGTGTCTTTCCTTCGAAAACCAATTTCAAGAAGACGGTCTAATAAAGTAATTCTATTAAACAAAATATTGTTGACTCTACTTTTTCGATAAGGTAATACCAAACGATCATCAACAAGATTATCGAAAAATTAGAAATCGATGGGTATCAAATGGACATGAAGTATTAGCAAACAGTTCGTCGCACTCCTTTGAGAACATCAATTCATCATTTAGCAGTCAACGTATACTAATCTCTCCAATTCATCGAGAAAAATTAGACAGTAGAGACGTTTCTCATTCTTCGCTTGCTGTTTCTGAGCATCTTCCCTCTTTCGAGTGAGTATGAATACTCTGACATGCTTATACTTATTTGTTTTATTCACAGAAACTTCATTCGACACAACGATGATGTCTTTCAAAGGACAAGACATTTCGAATTTTTCTCCATTGTCACAAGAATTTGGCTTACTATCGTTTCTTTGACAGTCTTACTAATAGCCATATATCTACTTTTGAATTTAATTCAAACCTCAGTAATTACAATAACAACGACTGGTAAAAAGAAAATATTTCTTTTAATATTAAAAGCTTATTTCTTTATAATTATAGCAGCAACATCGATAACCACAACAACTACAGGTGAAAAGATATTTGATAAAAAAGCATTAAATCAATGAGAATCCTTAAGATTCTTTACAAACTAATAAGTCTCTAAAGGTTTATGAATTTTATCGAATCTTGTAAAAATTAACGAGAAAAAAGAATTTGTTCTCATTTTTTCTAAACATCGAAGTTCTTCTGTGTATACAAATTTATCATACTATAACTACTTAATTAAAAATATTTAATTATTTGTTCTTCAGCTGCAACAACTAATCAATCATATTATTGTTCAGGTGTTTCACCATATATATTATGGAGTATGAACGTCTATGGTAACGTTTACATGACAATCAATACGAGTCAATGTAATTTTAATTCCACTCCGTTATACTTTACTAGTATGGGTGGTGATAATGCACATTTTACGGTGGGTGGTTATACTGCTATTTATAGTCCAACAAAAGATTCATTTACAATCTATGCTACTCCAATTATTTCATATACCATTGCAATCATGTTTAATTATTCACAGACCTACAGATGGAATATCAACTGGGTTGGTATATTAGAATGAAAAACGATTGTCTTTTATGTTATTTATTTATTTGAGAAAGTCATATGTAGTAGAAACGATGAATAAACCTTAATAATCTTGATATATATAATACATATTGTACAGAATCTCTTTTCAGTTCAACGAGGAGACGCGGGAATATTATTTTTCTTTTTTTTATTTCGGAAAAAGACGAAAAAAGCAAATCATGCAAATTTATTTCAGATCGAAAAACTATAACTAATATTATATATTGATAATGTTGTGATGGTATTCATGGTAAAGCTTCATTTTTCTTCTTCATGAAAACCATTTTGTTTAACAATAAAGTTAAGCAAATCAATACTTGTTATTATACCAAATCTATGTGTTCTGTTTTGTATTGTTGAGTGATCCTGGTCTATAAATTGAAAAGCAAAAAACAAAATGTCTTTGTAAATAAAAAATAGAAGTAGTCTTACGATGATCATGAGGAAATTTAATGATCGCATATTTATGAGTTTCTAAAATACGACTCAATTTTGCCAAATTATCATCCAATTGAACCTGTATTGATTTATAGAAGATTATTAATATACATTAGGAAAATTTACCGTTTGAAATTTGTCTGTCACCACTTTGGACACTGAATCTTGTGCATTGATTGTACCACATGATATTTTTGCCATTATTTCACACATTGTTGCCATACCCATAAATCCCCTTTCAATAGATATAATTAAAATAATAAATCAAATATATCTCATCAGTATGCACAAAAATCGGCTTAAAATATCGTAACCCAGTTCTTTAAATCTTACCCATCATTAGAAATAACAGGAATTTGATCAAAACCTTTGGCATACATTATATCACATACTGATTCAATTGTTGCATTTTCTGATACTGTAACCGGCTCACAAATTGGTAAACTTGATATAGGCTTTGTCTGCCACCACTCACTAGTTGATTCATCTTTAATATCAAGAAAACCACGATCACACATCCAATCATCACTCAAAAATTTCGTCCTACATTATTCAAAGCGAAAATTATCATTTAGAAAATCACCTCAAATTCTTACATATAATTTCGAACAGAATCTGGTAGGATAACAACACAATTTTGATTTTCAGTGAGTTTAAAATCTTTACACGCTTGTATAGCACATGACATGGCTGCACCAGATGAAGCACCACAAAGAATTCCTTCATCTTTAATTAATTTTCTTGAACAATTCATTGAAATTATATCCGTACTTTTATACCATCGATCAACTAATGATCGATCAAGTACAGTTGGAATAAAATCATGTCTATTTTTTTAAATTTTAATTTCAATCGTATTTTTGTTCTATCTAAAATATGACATACCCAATTCCTTCCATCTAAAATAAAAATTCAAATGAATATATACTACGAAGTCAATTATTAAGATACTTCATAAAATGTAATTCCGATTTCATTCATTGTTTCTGGTAAAGCTAATAATGAACCTTCTGTATCAACACCAACAATAATACAATTCGGACATTTTGCTTTTAATTTTCTTGAAAGACCAGTTAATGTTCCTCCTAGAAATTATAATCATAAAAAAATTCATTTTCAATTTAGTTTACCTGTTCCAGCACCAGCAACAATCATATCAACTTGTCCTATAAGAAAAAAAATCTTAATAAAATTTAATCAAGACACAGTTCTCACCATTGCATGCTTCAATAATTTCTTCTGCTGTTGTATCATAATGAGCAATTGGATTATATGCATTTCGATACTGATCAAGAATATGTGAATTAGGAATTTCTGTTTTTAATCGATGAGCTGTAGCAATATCTGAGTCAGGTGAATCAAATGATGCCTTTGTTGGTGTACGAACAATTTCAGCCCCTAGTGCACGAAGTACATCCACCTAAACAATAAAACATCAACTAAAAAAATAAAATTTCTTCTTTACTTTTTCTTTGCTCATTTTTTCTGGCAATACAACAATGCATCGATAGTTTTTTACCGCACAGACTAATGCTAATCCAATGCCTGTATTTCCGGCAGTTGACTCAATGATAGTATCACCGGGTTTTAATATTCCAGCACGTTCAGCTTCTTCAATCATACGCAAACCAATTCGATCTTTAACACTACCACCAGGATTGAAATATTCAAGTTTAGCCACTAGATTAAATTACACAGAACAAAAATGAATTTAAGAAATAAGATTATGAACTTACAAAGATTACATTTAACACCTGTATCGCATGCTAATTGATTAACACGGACAACTGGTGTATCACCGATTAATTCAAGAACATTATTGTAGATTTTTTGACGAAGTGATTTTTGTCTAAGGAATAAATTAATAAAAATAATTATTCAGTAAAGAAAACAAACCTAGAACCAAAATTATGTGGAGATTTACTTTGATCACCACCAAGAGTAAATGTACAACGACTTGGTGCATCTGGTCGATTGGCTAAAAAACTTTCCATTTTTTCTTTAGATTCTATTTCAAATCAAATGTAAAAAAATAAAACGATTAAAAGGTGCACCTCTTTTTTATCGAATTACAGTGCTGTGACCTGACAGGAATCGTCTGTAAAAGTGTGTTTTTCTTTCTTAATTTATATGCATATGTACAAACATGCAGACGTGTCTAAAAGAAAGAAAAAATATATAATCCAGTTATTTAATTTTTTCTCTTGCATACTATGAACACTATTTGATGGCATTTATTTGTTTATATTGAAATATCTCTCGTACGCGTTGGTTTATAAATAATTTAGTATAAATTTAACATGAGAACTTTCTCTCGCTAAACATATTTAGGTCGGGAAAAAAATTTTTTTTATATATTATTGTTTTCTTCGTTGCTCTTTGGTATTCTGAGTCGAACATGTGGTGGATTACCTTCGATAAGTGAGTAAAGAAAAAAAACGCACTTACAATAAAATCCAATTAACCTGTAAGAAGAAAAAAGTGCATAAGTTCCATTTTTTTTTCAAAAAAAAAGGAGAGAAAATTATGTTTACTGTATATCAGTTACACGAAGAAAAATAAAGAGAAAAAATACACAAATATACTGGCTCTGTACAACATTATATGAGAGACCGAGCTTGTTTACACAATCGTTTGCTGTCTATATTCTAATAATACTGAATAAATAGCACCGAATCGAATTAAAAAAGGATGAAGAGGTGGGTGAATCGATAACATGCATATTTTTAGGTGAATGATTCTCATGTTGAATAGTAGCTGGAATTGAAACAAGTGCAGTTGCAACTGATGTTCGATTAGAAGATTGTTATGATTGCTCATCTATATTACCAGAAAATGATGAATAAGATCTCGAACAGCATCATACCATTCAGGGCGTGGGTGTAAGTAAAGAATACTCACACCCACACCCACACCCACACCCACACCCACACCCACACCCATTTGATTTTCAACTTTTTTTGGTCAATATTTTGTCGTCGACGTTTGATTACTTCCCCAAAAAATTTACTATCTAATGTTTTTTTGGGATTGGTTTCATATTGTCATCATGTGTTTCATCTACTTTTCGTTTTTCTTCACTCGACCAACTGTTGGTTGAAGATTTATGAGAATTACTAGCAAATTCTTTCGTATCAGTACCAGCTGTTTTTGAACGTAGTGACAATTCAATTTCGGTGCTAATTTTATATTCCTAATCTCTAGTTTTGGAACCGATTTAGTATGTAGTACCCATGTCATACAAACCGCTTTAAAACCGTCAGTTAACCGCAGTTTACCGTCCGCTTGAACGCCCATTTGACCGTTCCGGTTATCGCAGTTAACCACGGTTAACCGCCGTTAACTGCATTCCACTGGCGATGTTCTTTATGCTCTTACTGATGTGTTAGGATTGAATGTAGTTTACAGTAAAAGTTTTGATTCACATCTAGTTTTCAGTTAGACTTTATTTAAATCTCATCAAAATCAATTTCTAGCATAACAATAAAAGAGCATTTTAAATCATTGAAATATAAAAAATCACTTATCATTATTTAACATCACACACGTTCAACAAAATCAACTTGTAATGAGACAAACAAAAAAGACGCGTACATTATGTTTTCACACAGGAAGAATGCGTCTACAAAAACACGAGTTACAACATAAAATAACATTAATCAAGTACATATTCTACTATTCTAACTACGACTGTATGATAAAAACAGCTAATAAAGAAGTATTACATATTATAACAATAATCATGTAATATGTAAGAAATAAATGTTTTTAATAAAGTAAAAATACTTAAAACAAGAAAATAGAAGTAAACAAGATATTTAACAAGAAGCTTTTTAATTTGCAAATGAACTAATAAATTCATCAAAATCGTCGTGTAGTGCTACTTGTGATGCAGATTGCACTGTTACATTACCAGTACTACTTCTTTTTTTTTTCAATTCATTGCGTCTCTTTTGAAGAATGCATTCATGCAAGATTGACCATTCAGACCGTAACATTTCATGATTCAGCTTGAATCTTGATCGAACTGCTTCTAAATAGAACCATATTTAAGAAGTGACTATGATAAAAACTAATTTTTGTTTTACCTTTAATAATTAAGTATCGTTCATCCTTTACCAATTCATCTTTAGTAATGGTCGTTATTTCTTCGAACGTAAATAACTTATCCATTACAAGTGCAACATAACGACCCATATGAGTTTGAGCACCATATAACTGAAGTTGATCTACAGATACGCTTTCTGAATAGACATAAATCTAAAAACAACAACAGCCAAAAGTTCATAAGAAAAACCTGCTAAATATAACTCACTAATGTAGATTTAAATGGTGAATCGTCAACGATTATATTTTCATCACCAAATTGATCACCATTTGATGCGACGTTGATCTTGAAAATACAAATCTTATTATTTAAAACGAAAAATATTGATACAATTGATATCTGCCTTTGTCTTTGATAACTCGACGAGAATAAAACGATTTTTGATACATGAATGGAATATTGATATCTAAAAATAAAATTAATCGTGCAAGAAATTTCAAGACAAATTAACAAATAAAAATGGAAACCATATACATAGATATTATAAACTTAAAAAATTATCTTCAACAATCGAGCAGTCATCCTATTCCGGAAAGTTACACATTCCGGAATCGCTTGGCTCACCCAACTTAACATAATTCAATTCCGGAATTCTTTGCATTCGATTCCTGCCTATTCCGGATTGCCTTGTATTCGATTCCTGCCTATACCGGAATTCCCTGCATTCGATTCCTACCTTTTCCGGAATTGCTGCACATTCCTACCAATTCCGGAATGGCTCGATCTATTGATATTTACGTAAAACTTAACATAGAGACCTTTCGTCGGTATGCAAGCACAATAGTGTGGGTGCGCGGGGAGCTCGGTCGATGGGCAAACACAATAGTGTGGGTGTGCGGGAGGCTCGGTCCGTGAAGAAGTACGCAATAGGCAGGAATTCCTGCCTATTCCGGGCGATTCCGGAAAAGCCGGACTGTGCA